TCATTTCTGATTCCTTTGTCTTTCATTCAACCAATCCTTTTATCCAGGAAAGCTCCTTAACTCATTATAGCTATCAACATTGACTAGATCATCTGAGACACTACTAGTGTTAACTGTACAGGACTTCCTACCTATTACAAAGCATCTCTAAATCAGGTAGATACAGAAAATTATTTCAAAGCTAGAGATAAAAATTATCATGTATAAGCATCAGTAAGATATACCTTCAGTTTTATCAAATTACAAAAAATGTACAACTCATAATATTTTTTTAACTTATGAGAACTTTTCATAAAATTATTTTTATGAATAAATGCACTAAATCAACTTGAAAGATTCATTTGTAGACAAACAAGAAGAAAAGGAAAAGTAATCAACCTGAGATTGTTTTAGATGTAATGAGGAAATTATTAATGAAAAAACATTTGGTAATATTAAACCTTTTCACTAAGTGATGTGTAACTTTAATTAACATTTTTGATATGAAAATGAGTAGCATCAACATCAAGGATGGTAACAGTGTTGAAAACACATGTTGAAAATTACTGATATATGGAAATGACATCCCAAAAGACTTTCAGATAATATTTTTTCTCAAGTTTACTAAATTCTCAGTGTGCCAAAAACCTAAAGAGTATATCTGTGGTCTAAAATGGGAATGACATGAGGCATCCTTATTGATTCTGGAAAGTTACTCTAGAGTATCCCTCTATAGAGTTGAATGGAGGGAGCCCAATCAGAATGACTATCACATTGAAGAAAGGCATAGTTTTAAGCAAGGGGATATGGCCATTGATTCCCCCCAGATAAAAAAGGTAATGTTTTTAATTACAATATGCTGAAAACTCGTAAGAAAATGCTTGTGTCTGCCATTGCATTACCTACAATAACCTGAACCAAGAAATCAATTAACCAGGTGAATTGTTCCACCAAAATACTAAAGGGTTTTAGGGTTACTGTGCCTTCGCTCTTTTTTCTGTTAAGATCCTGCTATTAGTGATATGTGGTAGATAGCAGGTAATAACAAACAAATAATAAGAATGATAGCTACATTCTTATCACTTCTATTCAGCTAGCCTTGATGCTTTTTTCAGAGGAAAATTGACTGGAGCTCACAGATTGACATTGCTAGTTTTGTTGCTCTATAAAACCTAATCAGCTATCTTTGAACTGCCTACTGGAGTAGAACTTTCTCATTTTCACTTATTTATGCAGAAGCAGGAAGAATTTGAAATTCTAGAAACTTTGAAATCAACAGAATAAAGGTTCTAGCCTTCAAGGTCCCATATAATGAGCATCTAAGGGAATTAAATTTTGGGGTATATAACACTTGCTTTTCTACTTTAAGAACAGAAGATGTACTAAGTAGACTTCTCCTTCCTTAATATATAAAAAAAAGTAGAATCGGGGAAGGTATCTGAAAGAAGAAGAAGATCGGGAAGTAGCATGAACAGTAACAATTTTAAAGTAAATAAAATTAGGCTTGCACGTATCCTCTAAAATAGCACTGTTCTTGTACCCAAAAATGAAATTAAATGTCATTTTGAAAAAAAAAGTCATCAATCTGCCATTCTATGATTCTATGATTCTATGAATCTTCAAGTCATTGAAACTAAATTCTCATTTATGTATAATACTAGGAAAAAAAACACCAACAGAAAAAGAAATTTCTTTTAAGAGGCAATGCCTGTGTAGCAATGTTCAATGAGATTTTACCAAGCAGCAGATCAGAAGAACTATTTTATTATGTAAAAGATTTGTGACTAATTCTGATAAAGTGCTAAATTTTTAAAACCAATTTTCAAATTAACTCATATACTAAGAAGCACACTTAATTGTAAATTCTAAGAAAATTCTATCCATACTCAAAATCTCAAACAGTAAATGCTGGTTGTAAACAGTATGATTTTTGGAAGTATATCGTGTACTTCAAACATAAATTTTTTTTCTTTAAGTGCAAAACTAGCCTTATCATAAAGCCACTGTCAATGCCTTTCTGCTCTCTTTTCTTCCTTTGTTCCATTGGTTGGGAATGGGCACAGAGGACGAGCTGAAAAGAGTAAAAACCAGATACATAGTTAATTTACATTTAGAAAACATTATATTATTCTATCTAGATTTCTCCTAAAGTCTTTCATAGAACCAGGTATTCTCCTTTCTGAATAAATCCAGAGAAAAAAATAAAGAGTATCCATACTGTATCTGTAAACTGCAGTCTAACTCAAATTTTACTTCTGATAGTATCCAGTAAAGGATGCTTAGAGAAAAAGAATTAGACAAAAGATAGAATTCTATTTCTGTGGAACGTTCCTCTTTTCTGGTTAAAAAAAAAAATATTCTTTTTATTTTAAATCGATTCTTTATGGTTATCTTTACAATATTTTATTTTCTCGTCCTTCTTGCACCCTCCATTCTCTCTTCTTTCTCAGTTACATGCAAAAAGCATATGGGTGGTAAATTGACCTAACATAGGCACATAATTTTATTCAGAGTTATCTCCAATCACATTTAAACATCCCCCTCCCACTCCCACAAGCCTTCATGCTTTCTTTTCACCATTTAACTGTCACCTAAGAGAAGTATAATTAACAGAGAGATATGAAGCACACCACAGAGAGCAAAATGCTCAAACATAAACAGAAATTGTGCCATATCTGATGTTTAGCCCACGTATGTAGAGATTGTGTTACTGCATTAGGTATACTGTAGAATGAGAAACTTACTTTATTTCGTAACTGGGGGGGTGGATAAGAAAAAATAATTACTGTAGTCTTCTGGGGTTGCCTCAGGCTAGGTAAATTACTTTAAGACTGATAAAGACATTCACAACTTCAGTGACCAAAATGGAAATACTGCCATTAGTGCCCCCTTCCTGACCTTAAATAATAAAAGGAACAAAATGGGAGTGTATATTGTGACTCAGAATAGGTGTAGTGCACAAATAATGGGTTATTACCTGTAGAGGGAAAGACTCATAACAGAGATACAACAGCTGTTATCTTAGATAATGCATCTTACAATGAGAAAGGAAAAACAAATACTTGATAATATTTGCAAAATTACTTGAATAAAGAACTTTCGAAGTTTTCCACGAGGCGTCACCAAAGTCTTTACAGAAAGTTTCCATAACATGCAGAGGACATAAAATTGGATTGGCATATTTTGTTTATTATTAAGGCACTTTGTGTGCAAATAGGGGTGTTTGATGTTTAACAGATCTAGAAAGACAGATATCTTAAAGGAACCACTAGCACTGTGTTTGTACTCTGAATAACGTGGATTAATATAGTCACTGGAAAGATGCTTTTGATGTGCATAATCTGCACTTTATGTTGCAATTAGCAAGACTGTTTGACAAATACATACTGTACAGCTCCTATACAGCTGTACAGAAGAGAAATACATCACCATCCAATTTTTTTCGTAATTTGAAGAAACAATGATGAAATGAAATACTTTTGAAATCTGAGGAGTTCAATTAGTTCTGAAAGTCAGACAAGGCTTTGATTTGGATCAAATAACAGAGGAAAACTGGCCAGTGAAAGAATAAAACTGTGTTCCTCTGTGCTATGTGCCTGTTGTTACAACACTTAGTGCATCTCTGTTATATAACTGAAGCAGTTATATAGAATCATAGAATGGTTAGGGTTGGAAGGGACCTCAAAGATCATCTAGTTCCAACCCCACTGCCATGGGCAGGGAACCCCTCCACTGCACCAGGTAGCCCAAAGCCTTGTCCACCCTGGCCTTGAACACTTCCAGGGATGGGGCATCCACAACTTCTCTGGGCAACCTGTTCCACTGCCTCACCACTCTCAGAGTGAAAAATTTCTTCCTTATATCTAACCTAAATCTGCCCTCTTTCAGTTTAAATCCGTTGCCCCTTGTCCTATCACTACACACCCTTGCAAAAAGTCCCTCTCCAGCTTTCCTGTAGGCTCCCTTTAAGTACTGGAAGGCTGCAATAAGATCACCCCGGAGCCTTTTCTTCTCCAGGCTGAACAGCCCCAATTTTCTCAGCCTGTCTTCATAGCAGAGGTGTTCCAGCCCTCGGATCATCTTTGTGGCCCTCCTCTGGACCCACTCCAGCAGCTCCATGTCCTTCTTGTGCTGGGGACCCCAGAGCTGAACACAGTATTCCAGGTGGTGTCTCACGAGAGCAGAGTAGAGGGGCAGAATCACTTATATGCCATCTTGGTTGTTCTTACCATACCGTTATGTTCTAGTATATAAATTTGGTTTGTCCTTCTTCAAATAATACTGACATTAGATAACATAGATGTGGAGAAAACTTGGCTGCTGCAGCATCCTGTGAAAGTTCTTCCCCTATGCAGGCTAACTAAGAAACACCTGTAGCTCATTACACTGGGAAAGTTGCCTTGAAACAGGTGCTGTAGCATCCAGCCAATCACTCTGGGAGATGGATGGTCAAGTGGCCAATAGCCTTGACCCATCTAGTAAACCATGTGACTTCTGACTAATTAAGGTGGGGTGTTTACTCCTAAAGGTGAGGCATTTCCCTTCTGAGTTTTGGAGGAGTGTGGGCTTGTTTTAGAGTGGAGCCTGAAGCCTTCCCATTGCATTGGGGCATTGGCCTGCTTGGAGCTGCCTGAAGCCTTCCCGTTGTGATGTTTGGTGACCCTGACATGATCCAACTGCAACTAATATCAGAAGGTATGTGCTTCTGTACTTGGGGCTCCAAGGGATAGGCCTTAGATCAGAAAGATGGAACAAAACTCTGCAAAAGAGAGTAAATTACTTTCCATCCTTAAATCTGTGGTAGCAGTCACAGGGGCTAATATAAGTGATGAAGCTCTCTGTGAGCTACTAAATTGGGTGGCAGAACATGAATGCCTGGCCAATCTTAACACCACCTTTAGCTCAGAAGCTTGGAAGCAGTTAGGGGATAAGTTAATTTATGAAACTGTGCTTGGATGTAAGAATCTGACCGAAAGAACCTGACTGGTCTGCTACGTATTTGGGGAACTGTATATGATGTAATGCAGAAATGGACGGTAGAAAGGAAGGAAAAAGAATTGCCAGATTCTGATGAATCTGCGAGTGAAGCTCCTGAAGGGGACGATGAGTTATCCGAAGGGAGACTGATCCTGGACAGCATGGGCAGTGCACCAGTTGCGCCCACACTGTCCTCAGATGCTGAGAAAGTCGTGGGGACTGCATGGAGGCTTTACACCTCCCTGCGGGATTATGTCCCACCCAAGTATGCTCCTCTGTGTGATTTTACGATGCCGGAATACCCCTTTGGACACGACAAAGTGTCGGAGCGTCCCCCACCCTTCACCCCAACAGCCCCCCCTTCCTCATCTGCATCACAGCCGGTTACTTCAGTCAATACAGCAGAATCTGTCCTTCCTACTGCTCCGCCATTTGCCTCTCAACTGGGCCAGACACCGCAAGGACCGTTCCCAGGCATGGCACCCTGGTTTTCTGCAGCTCCATTCCCGGTGACTTCTTGTCCTGCGCCATCGCCCATAGCGTTCAGCTATCTACCTCAGGCACAGATGGAGCAGCCACCAACAATGCATTTCGTGATACACCAGGTTATGGTGGTATTGCAAGGAGTGTCACAACAACTAACAGCATTGATGGAGATGTTGCAGCAGGCTACTGCTGCTGGATCCGTGCCAGGACAACCTGGGCTGGCCGTGCTAACCGGCCCAGCAACGGCCCCGGAAGTGGCACCGAGCGTGTCACTGACAGCTCCGGCGGTGGCACCTTTGCAGATAGCGGTGCCGCCACAAGCTTCAACAGCCTGAACTGCATCTCTGTGGGTTGCTCCACAACCGACCACAGCCTCCACCTCCACTCCGCCCACTGGCCCAGCATGTGTACCCTGCCAGAAACCATCGGACACACCCCTGCCTGATGACGCAAGTAATGTTTCGATGGACACATTTACTACACTGCAGGAAACCATGGCGACGGTCAGACGACAGCAACCAGCAACATGGCCTGCCCACAACCGTCCCTGGATGCTTCCAGAACGTAAGGTGAATGTGCATCCAAAAAATTCAAAACGGTTTTGGGAAGAATTCAAGAGGCGGGCTCTGGAGGCAGGGAACTGAGATTTAATAGAAAAAGTCGGGTTGCCTGAAAAGGGACCTCAGCAGGTTGTTCAAGAAGCTAATGAACCAACAGAGGATATTATCCAAGCCTTTCCTGTACAGAAAGCGCTTCCTAACTCAGGCCAGACTGATAAACATGAAACTATTGCCTGGAAAGTAGTCCAAGATCTGCAATCCAGAGTGGTGCAGTATGGACTAGATTCTCCTCAAGTCATGTAGATTATTAGTATATTGAATACTGACCTTCTCTCCCCATTTGATATTAAGCATCTAGGTCAGGTATTATTTCAACCTGTGCAATATACTGGCTTCCTAACTCAGGCCAGACTGATAAACATGAAACTATTGCCTGGAAAGTAGTCCAAGATCTGCAATCCAGAGTGGTGCAGTATGGACTAGATTCTCCTCAAGTCATGTAGATTATTAGTATATTGAATACTGACCTTCTCTCCCCATTTGATATTAAGCATCTAGGTCAGGTATTATTTCAACCTGTGCAATATACTGTTTTTGAGGCCAATTGGAGAAGAATGGCTGAGAGAGCTGCAGCCGGGAATATGCAGCTACCTCCAACTGACCCTAGATACGGAGCTCCAGCAGATGCTCTACTGGGAGCTAATGCCTTTTCCGATCCTAATTTCCAAGCTACATGGCATCCTCAAGTCCTTGAGCAAGCCCAAAAGATTGGCATGGGAGCCCTATTAAAAGGCATAGATATGGCTGCTCCTAAAACACGATATGTGAAGATATATCAGGGGCAAAAAGAGCACTTTTTATCCTTCGTGGAAAAGATTGCTGCAGCCCTTGAAAAACAAGTCGAAGATGAGACCCTGAGGCAGCTATTATGCAGGCAGCTGGCAAGAGATAATGCCAATGAAGAATGTAGGAAAATCATAAATGCTATGCCAGGGGAACCCACACTTACAGAAATGATCGAAGCTTGTTCTAAGTTGGAATCCGAGAATTATAAATCTGCTCTGGCTACAATTCTGCAGCCTATTCAATTCAAAAACTCTCATCCTGAAACAAAAAGGCAACCTAAGAGTGAGAATAGACAGAGAAAGGCCAGACAAAAAAGGAGAAACAAGGACAACAGGAGGCCTGCTTACTGCGTAAGATGCAATAAGCCAGGCCATTCTGCAAGATACTGTGAGTCCATGTACCATGCCAATGGTCGACCCTTGACATGTTCGGGAAACTTCACCAGGAGTGCAATGGGGATGTGCGCTCAGACACAAATGTTTCCTCAGGGCATGGTACCAACTCAGGCCTACTCAGCCAGCTTACAGCCAGCACCAAGGGATCAACCAGGGTGGATGTGCACACCGCAACAACAGTTGTCTTAGAATCCTATCGTGTCTATAAGGTTCCCTTGGATGCATTTGGGCCTCTAGGACATGGACTGAGTGCATTGTTGGTGGGAAGATCTAGTGCTGCCATTCAAGGGATCTTTGTGCACCCAGGAATTATTGACGCCGATTTCACAGGACAGATTTGTGCTGTGATTTCCACACCCACCCCCACCCCTGTCACAATACCTGAAAAAACTCGGATTGCCCAACTCGTACCCTTTAAGTTGTGTGTTCCTAAGGCAAAGCAACGAAGTCGTGAAGGTGGTGGCTTTGGTTCTACAGGACCTCCACAGGTTTATTGGACCGTAGATATCTCTAGCCAAAAGCCACAGATGACCTGTATCTTAATATTGCCAAATGCCCAGGCGTCCAGGATTCGGCTCCGAGCTTTGATTGACAAGGGTGCCGATGTGACAATCATCTCCTTTTCTGTGTGGCCTCCTACATGGCCTTTAGCCTCCCTGGGGTCAGCTGTTGCAGGACTGGGAGGAATCGCACAGAGTTATCTAAGCGAATGACCTGTGGTGGTGAAAAATGCAGAGGGGCAAACAGCTGCGGTTCGGCCCTGTATCACTACAGCTCCGCTTAACCTCTGGGGGTGGGATGTCTTGGCGCCTTGGGGAGTACAAATTGGGACAAACTTTTGATGGGGGCAACTGTACTGAAGGGCGCACAGTATCCTACGTTGCCTTTGCGGTGGACAGTAAACAAACCCATCTGGCAACCCCAGTGGCCCCTACCAAGAGAAAAATTGGTCACCCTTCATCACCTAGTCAAGGAACAATTACAACAGGGACACCTTGAACCTTCCACTAGTCCCTGGAATACTCCTGTCTTTGGAATTAAGAAGAAATCGGGAAGATAGAGATTGCTGCAGGATCTCTGAAAAATCAATGCAGTAATGGAAAGTATGGGGGCATAGCAGCCCGGAATGCCCTCACTCACCATGATTCCAGCAGGGTGGGAAATCTTGATCATTGATTTGAAGGTCAGGGACACCTTGAACCTTCCACTAGTCCCTGGAATACTCCTGTCTTTGGAATTAAGAAGAAATCGGGAAGATAGAGATTGCTGCAGGATCTCTGAAAAATCAATGCAGTAATGGAAAGTATGGGGGCATAGCAGCCCGGAATGCCCTCACTCACCATGATTCCAGCAGGGTGGGAAATCTTGATCATTGATTTGAAGGACTGTTTTTTCATGATCTCCTTACATCCTGATGACAAACCAAAGTTTGCCTTTACTGTGCCTGCAGTTAACAACGCTGAACCTGCAAAGAGATATCTATGGAAGATCCTACCTCAGGGCATGAAGAATAGCACAACTATCTGCTAATGGTATGTTGCTCAAGCTTTGTCCAGAATCTGTTTCCTGAAGCATACTGCTACCATTACATGGATGACATCCTGGTGGCAGCATCCACCCAGGACGAGTTGCTGAGGATAGACTCTCAGCTGCTCACTGCTCTGCATTCTTATGGATTGCAAGTGGCTCCAGAGAAAGTTCAACAGCATCCTCTTTGGATAGGAGTCAAAATTTTGGACCAAACTATACAACACCAAGAGGTGCAATTCTCGAGTTCTATTAAGACCTTGAATGACGCTCAGAAACTGTTGGGCGTCATCAATTGGTTACGTCCCTATCTAGGGCTAACCACGGCGCAACTTGCGCCGCTTTTTAATATTTTAAATGGGGACCCCGAGTTGAATTCACCTTGGAAATTGACTCCTGAAGCGCAATGAACACTAGAGGAGGTTCAACAGGCCATTTCTGCCTGTCAGGTTTGTCGAGTGGATCCCTACATTGATATTTCCGTTTTCGTAACCACTCCAGATTTTCATCCTACAGGTATCATTGGCCAGCGGAATAAACAGGGGCCTGCCCCCTTGCGTATTCTGGAATGGGTCTTTTTGCTGCATCAGCCAAAAAAGACAGCATCCACATTATTTGAATTAATTGCTTGTCTGATAATCAAATGCCGTCAGCGTTGTTTACAATTGATGGCAGCAGATCCTGCAACAATTGTTCTTCCAGTACAGCAGGAACACTTTGAGTGGAGCCTTACTAACAGTGCTCCTCTGCAAAGTGCGCTGCAAAATTTCTCAGGACAAATTGCTTATCATCTGCCTAGTCGTAAATTGCTGCAATTGGCAAAATTGATAAGCTTTACCTTGCGGCCAAAAAATAGCCAAGTGCCAGTGCAAGGACCCACTGTCTTCACCGATGGGTCCAGGAAAACTGGGAAAGCTATTGTTACCTGGAAGGAGGAATCTGAGTGGCAGGTGCTGGAAGGCCATGAGTCAGGCTCAGCCCAGTTGGTTGAACTAAGGGCTGTTGCCATGGCCTTTCAACAGTTCTCGCAGGTACCTTTGAATTTAGTCACTGACTCTGCTTATGTAGCAGATATAACCCAACGCTTAGATTGTTCGCTTCTGAAAGAAGTAAATAATGCGGCTCTGTTTTCTCTATTAAAAACTTGATGGTATGCAATTCAAGATTGAGTTCACCCATATTATATTCTGCATATTCATAGTCGTACCAATTTGCCAGGTTTTATAACAGAAGGCAATGCCAGGGCTGACACGCTAGCTAACTCTGCATGGGTAGCACCTCAGCCTGATAAAATTGCACAAGCCAAGGCATTGTATAGTTTCTTCCATCAAAGTGCGCCTACCCTGCAGAAACAGTTCCACTTAACACCCACTGAGGCTCGGGACATTGTCAGCGCTTGCGCTGACTGCCACGGACTTGCGGCACCTCTGCCATCAGGGGTAAACCCCAGAGGCCTAAAAGCCCTGCAGCTTTGGCAGACGGATGTAATGCATGTTTCTGAATTTGGCAGATTTAAGTATGTGCACGTGTCTTGACACTTTCTCCTCAGCCATGTGGGCATCTGCTCATACTGGGCAGAAAGGTCGCGATGTCATTGCCCATTGGAAACTCGCTTTTGCAATCTTGGGTGTGCCTTTTTCTGTGAAAACTGATAATGGCCCAGCCTACGTCTTACAGAAGACGCGGCAGTTTTTACACCTATGGTGTGCAAATCATACTTTGGGTATTCCGCATTCTCCTACTGGCCAAGCCATTGTTGAATGCACTTATGGCACTCTGAAGTGTGTTTTAGAGAAACAAAAAGGGGGAAGGCATGGAGAAACCCCCCAGAGTCGCCTAGAAAAAGCATTATATACAATTAACCATCTTAAGGTACCACTAAATTCAAATAATCCTGTTTTTCTGAATCACTATCTTTCATTGCAGTCTTCAGGCGAGACGCACCTGCCCCGAGCGAAAGTCTGGGTACGGGACCTACTCACTAAGACGTGGGAAGGCCCGTATGAG